GTTTAGGTATTAGTAGGTTTGTATTTAGGGTTTTGTTTGATGATGATAATATTATGATTTGTGATGAGAATGATGAATTGTAATGAGTAAAATGCCATAAGATGATGTATATGATGCCTACTATGATGTGTTATTATGATGTTGTGAAACCATGATGAATTGTGTGAACTTTGGACTGAATGGGTGATGAAATTGTATGGAATTTAGATTGGTTATGTGAAGAAAACACAACAGCAGAGTTGCTATTTTCGTTCCCTCGTCGAGCGAGCTCCCCATGTCGTCAGGCGAAGCATCTTCACCCATACTTCTCTAGGAGAGAGTGAGGTGATAGATATAGAAGTGAGTTTTTGGCAGGTTTCTGGAAAATGCATTGAGGAGGTGTCTCGCTCCAGCTTCGCCGGATGAAGCAAAGGCGAGTGCGAGCTCGCCGGGCGAATGTAAAGGTCGTCGGGTGAAAGAGATGATGGAAAATAGGTGCTCATGGAATTTTGTATGGGGGAAGGTGTTTCTCCCCATCCTCGTCGGGCGAACCTTAGGCGAGTAATTCGCTTCGTCGGGTGAGCCTCAGGTGAGAGGCAACTGACATATTTTTTAAAGTTCGTAACTTGAGTTTTCGAACTCCATTTGACGTGTCTCTGAAAGCGTTAGAAAGCTAACGAAATATACTATACTTTGGTGAAATAAAATGAATCATATTATGTATTACCCACTGATTGTTCTATGATAAAGTAATGTGATTGTGCATTGATGTAACATGATGTATGCTTTCTTATGATGAATTGATGTGATTATACCCTGATGCAATATGATGTATGATTACTATAACAAATTTATGTTATTTTTATGATGATGTATGTATTACAAAGTGTGTGATGATATTATGATGATTACATGAATGATGATATGTTTTGACTAGCAGTGATCATGTTTTATTGTGTTGTTGTGCATCATGTATTTATGGCATATGTTAGGGTGTTGTCTAGTGATGTTAGGGAATTGGCCCAGTGATGTCAGGACTTTGGTCCAGTGATGTTGCTAGGACATTAGTCCAGTGATGTTCTCAATCCCATGGGGTGGATTGAGTGCTATTTTCTGAAGTTCTCTGGTTCTAAGAGGGAATCAATCATATGGTGGGGATCCTTGGAGGAAGATGACTTGGTCATCAGTGAAGTTTTGGTACCACATGCATGAGTCAATGATGTTGCATTGCATGATTTGTGACATTGCATAATGATTGATTAAGTGAAGTTGGTGACATTGTGATCTAAGTGGTGTTTGATGATATATGTTAATCTGGTGATGTAATGATATAATTGATGTGTATTGATGATCTAAAAAGTGTAAGTATAATGTATGAAGTATGATGATATATGAAATTCATGATGATTTGTTGTTGTGCTACTGTACTTATTCCTTATATATTTTATAATAATTTGTGATTACTCATCCTTTCTTCTTGGAAATGTTGCCTCGATACGTGGGTAACTTGAAGGTAATAAAGAATAGCTTGTAGGAGTTTGAGGATAGCTTGGAATTATTCATTTATTTCTATTAATGATAGTGGTTTTGTTCTGATATTGTAACACCGGATGGGGAAACACTTGAGTTGAAGTTTCAATTGTTTTAATAAACCTATTTTATGAGTTTTATTATGACGAATTTATTTTATGGTGACCTTTGATATTGACCAAAAAAGTTTTGATGATGATGAACTAAATGAAGTTATTTTTGAGACTATGATTCTGCTGGGAGATTTAAATCTGTCTGTTGATATTATTAAAGAAGTAATTATTTAAAATGATTTAAAAACCTGTGTTACAGAGCAAGATGTTTTATATGATGTTTATATAAAGATGTGACACCCTTGTTGGTGGTTTTATTTGAATTATTTTCTTAAATTATATGCGAATTATATGTAGGTTTAGAATAGTGTTACATGTATGACATTTACTGTTAAAATCTACCTAGCATACTTACTCTAGGAGGAATTGGATTATCCCCTACCGGTTAAACCCTTGACAATGGTGTTGACAATGGTCTTAGAGCTTTTCTTAAACATCCTTGTCACACAACTACAAATGATACATTTCATGACGATTTCAACTCACCCAAAAAAACCGAGGTATAATTCCAGGACGCACCATGATTTATTTTAAAAAGTGTATTATATTCCCTCAGATTTTGAATATAACCGAGGGGAAAAGTAATTCATGACATGTTTTGAAGCCCATCAAAATAAGTTTAGGTGTTTATTTCTTTAAAAATGGTTCTTTTTTTTTGTTAATGAATTGATCTATTTCTTCGGTTTCTTTAATAACTGAGAGGTTAGATAATCATATTTGACTATAAAAGCACTCGTCCATTAAATATCACCATAAACCTAGCTGCTTCATACTCGTATATATCATTCTTTGGGATGAATTGCAAAACTGAAAAATCATTAATGTTTGTTATATGTGATTCTTCTAACACCAACCTTGAACAAAATATTTTCCAGCTCTTGCAATCCATCTCACATAATAATATTGTTGTTGTTGTTTCCACCTCTCTTGCAAGTCCATTGTTATATTTTGGCATAACCTTCCTATGTTGTCAATCAAAGAAAATACTTCATGACTTATTGCTTTCTTCGGTTGACAATATTGAGAAATTTATTCCTAAACATACTGTAAATTGCAAATAATGTTTGAATATTGCAGCACACAAAGAAAATGGTGAATGGTAAAAAAATTAAAAAAAAGAAACATCACACGTTACTTTTATTTTTTTACCATTCACCATTTTTTCTGCAAGTAATATATTACTTCCATTTTTTATAAAATCGATGAGAAAGTCCCTATTTTATTTTATTTTTTAGTTTAAAACGAAATAAAATTTCCCATCGATTTTGTCAAAGAATCGAGGGGTATAGTTATTCAGTTAACCAACAACGAATATATGCCCTACGTTCCTAAAGTAGCATCGTCTAAGATATTTCCAACACATCAATCCACAAGAAATCCTCTATATCCAATAAGAATGAGAACACCACCACTATATATCTTGGATGCTATCTTGTGAAACTTAAACATTGATAATGAAAGTGTTTGCCATGAAAACAATGAAAGCATTAAAAATGAAACCTTGGAACAAATATCTAAGATGGATTGCAAGTGCAAAAAAAATTTGTTCAAATGTTGACGCTCTTACACAATATCTTATCTTTTTACTTGAATTTTATGTTATGTATCTAATCTTTTTTATGTTATATCTGAAATTTGAAGCGTGCAAATCATTGAGCTTGAAAAGTATTGGGTAAATTTGGATTTATTCAAAGTGATGATGATGAATCAGATTTGTAAAAAATTTGTACTTGTAGATTGAAACCAAAACAATGTAACATTAGAAACAATGTAATTTAATTATTCTATGTAAACAATATAATTTAATATTTAGTATAAACAATGTAATTTATATTTAAAAAAATCTTTTTCCCCTCAGTTTTTTTTGTGACAAAATTCGAGAGGTATGAGGCAGTAATTTTGAAAATATAAATATGTTGTTCTTGGGGATCGAACCCCTGACCATTTCAACTATTCTCTCGGTTTATATGAAATCGAGGGGTAAAATGGAGAGTTTTCATAACACCCTCTGTTATATCCCCTTCGCGTTCGAGGTGAAATAGGGGTTATTTGTAGTAATGAGAGAATATGGTGAAAGAAAACTATGTATAACGGTGAGTGTGGCCCATGCCTATTTTACCAGACCCCGCTGTGGATAATCCATAATGATTAAGGATTGTTATAGGATTTTAGGAATTGTTGTGGGGCTTCAGAGCTAGCTCACTTAGGGAGGTGAGAAACTCTATGTATATAGTATATGTGTAAATATGAGATTGTCCCCCTCAACTTTTTGGTTGAGGTATTTATAGGAGTTTTTGAGTCTGGATCCCAAATGCCTAGGAAGTAGGAACCACTTTAGAGAGTGTCGGAGCAGACACTTAATCCCCTATTATTCAAGAGAGTGTGGTTAACCTCTCGTGACTCCGTATCCACACCGTTGTAGATTGAAGACACGACAGTCCCCATGTTCCCATGCTTCGAGAGAGCTACCTGAGAAATGAGCGACATATTCAAGAAATGGGTGTTACATTCCAAAACGGGAGATCAATCTCATACATGGGAAATTAGAATGTAGTTTGGGCGATTAGGAAGGCATAGAAGTGTTACATCATTTACCTCCCATGTCGCCCCTTGTGGGTCCTTCATGAATATACCAATACCAAATTTATTTTGTATGAAGCTGCGAGATACCGATTCGGATACCTCAAGATGTGGTTGTACCATCATAAAAATTTATAGTCCTTCATGTGTTTGTATCATTGCTAAAATGAATCATAACAATATGCTTACTCGTCCGACAAGAAACACTTATTGGGTCATCTTATTACAAGTGGATATAACATAATTTAGTTGAGTTAACTAGATATTGATCGAGAGAAATGGCATACCGGCTTGAGCGATTTAATTATGAATATAGTAATTTTAATTTTGCTAACAGTTGATTTCAAACATTTAAAAGTTATATTTAAATAGGACTTTTTGTTTGAGGAGTTAAAGATATAATTATAAATGTCCATTTTTCTTAGAATCAATTATATAATCATGACACTTATTAACTTGTTTTAGAATTAATCTTTAGAAATTCTTCAAATTTCTTCTAAATATTAGTTGTTCAAGTTTTTTCAGGATTTTCATAGGAACTATAACATGTTTGCAATGCCATTATAGAAAAATCAAAGAGTTCTAAGTGATTAGCAAGAGCATAATGCAAGAATAAATACAAAAGCCACTCATGAAGTTGATATAAATTGTCATTTTAATATTGTATATTACACAACATGATAGATCATGAGTAAACGATGAAACTCAACAAATTGATATACTTTTTCAATTTTACTTATGTGAACATCTATTCTATAAACAAACTTTTGTATATTAGTTTATATAGATAAACTATAATTAGGATGAATTAATTGTTTTTGTATGTTCCTTTTTGAGCACTTGAAACAATCTTCCATCATAAACACCACGAATTGTTTCTTTCTGAAGTAAACCATTCTTATCTTTCGCAAGTTTGTAAAGAATTTTCCATTCAACAAAACTACCCATTCTGCATATATGATCACACATTAATGGTTACTATATTTTATAGTGAAAATAAATTTAACTAATGTTATATGCATCATCTTATTCAACAAACCAACCTTCCTTGAATATCTTTAGGCTCTCTGTTTGCCTTAATCAACTCGTCGAGCTCATCTTTTGTTAAAGCATTTGGATGTGTGTGTGCATGTTTGGTGAAAATTTCTTCAAATTTTGATTCAACAAACCTTCCTTCACTATCATAAACTCCACTGTCACTGCCATGTTTGCCTAGTTTGATATTCTTAACTTCAATTGGAAAAAGTGGAGATGGAAATTTTCCCTACACGGGTGACAACAAACATATAACAAATATTAAGCTAAGTGCTCATAAAAGAATAATTAGGAGAATAAAATACTTCAAATTGTAAACAAATATATATAACTTTAAATAATATGGAAACAAAATAGAAAAATAGAAATTGATTAACTTACAGGGCGAGTAGTCTGACTTAGGGCCGCATTTATGAAAACGGCAGCCGTAGTTGATAACAACACCCCACTACCAATTTCACGCATTGCTGTTATTAATTCTTTCATTCATTAATAACCAAAATTGTTAATAACACTATCAAATTTATTCATTCATAATTTGTGTTTTGTACCGCCCACAAGGTCCATGATAAATGATCTAAGTACCGTTGGAATAAAGAATTCAAGAAAGATGATATTGTGAAAACAAGAAGAAGAAGAGAGAGAGAATTGATGAGTTAGTTATCCATACTGAATTGTATTATTGTTTTTTACTATTACAAACACAATGATCCTTTATATAGGCAAAATAACACAAGCTCAAATACATGCTAAAAAGTTCAAATAACTATATAATAAGAATAAACCAACTAACACACCTCCTTAATTCATGTTATCAAGACTTCTCATCTCAATGTCTTTCTTTAACTCTTCGAACCTCACTTTCTTCAGAGCTTTGGTGAATATGTCAGTTAGTTGCACTTCTGTCTTGCAGTGTTTTATTTCAAGCTTCCCTTTGTTGACTTGATCCCTCGGAAAATGATACATTCTTTCAATGTGTTTACTTTGACCATGACACACTGGGTGATTCGCAAGATTTATAGTTGACTTGTTATCAACAAACAACTTCATCTTCGACAATATTATTCTGAGTTCCTCAAGTAGCATTTTGATCCATGCTGCTTAGCATGCAGCATATGATGCAACCACATATTCTGTTTCGTATGATGACAAAGCTACAATGCTTTGCTTCCTCGAAGTCCGAGTCAGTGTATCCATGAACTTCGATATATGTGTTGTTCTTCGAATTCTTTGGTAACAGCACACCATGATCAATAGTTCCCTTTATGTATCTCAACACCCTCTTTACTGCAATGAGATGACATTCTTGAGGCTTCTCCATAAACCTGCTCAACAATCCTACACTTTGGCAGATATCCGATCTAGTATTACAAAGATACCTCAAGGATCCAATGATTTGTTTGTAAAGGGTCGAACTTACAAACTCATCATTCGATTCCTTCTTCAGCTTTGCTCTAGTCTCTAATGGAGTAACAACTTCCTTACAGTTTCTCATATTGAACCTCTTCAGTATATCTTGAGGATACTTCGTTTGATGCAAGAAAACTCCTTCTTTGACGTCTTTGAATTTCATTCCCAGGAAATAGGAGAGATTCCCTAAATCAGACATTTCGAATCTTTGCATTAACATTGACTTTACCTTCATTATATCAGCTTTGTCTGCTCCTATAATGAGTAAGTCATCAACATAGAGGCATAAAATGATTTGATTGACACTTTCGACATCATTTACATACACTTCATGTTCAGAGACACACTTTATGAAACCTGCTTCGATTTGGAAGCTATCTATCCTTTTATTCCAAGCTCTAGGAGCTTGCTTCAAGCCATAGAGAGCCTTTCTTAATCTGTAAACTTTCGACTCCTTCCCTTTGACGTCGAAGCCTGGTGGTCGAGTAACATAGACTTCTTCTTCCAATGGACCATTCAAAAATACTGACTTCACATCAAGTTGGTGCATTTTCCATCCTCTACATGCAGCTATCGAAACAACAATTCTGATTGTTTCGATCCTCGCAACAGGCGCATATACTTTGTCGAAGTCAATACCAGGTTTTTGTAGAAAACCTCTAGACACCAGTCTTGCCTTATACTTTGAAATATCACCATTTGTCCTTCGTTTCACCTTGTAGATCCATTTCATATCGATTGGTTTCTTGTTGGTTCTTTCGACAAGCTCCCAAGTCTTGTTCTTCTCAATGGCTCTAAGTTCTTCTTTCACGGCTTCACACCAATTCGAATTGCTCAAGGCTTCACCCAAATCAATTGGTTCTACTTTAGCCATCATCATGGCTTCTTAGATTAAGTCACCATCTACATCGATTTCTTGATCTGGAAACCTCTCATATCCAATCATCCTAGTCGACTCAGTTCTTGTTCTTGTGGATCTTCTTTCATTTTGCACAGGTGGTTCTTCATTTCGACTTGTCGAAGCTTCGTTCTCTTCATCTTCTTCAAACACAGTTGTGACTGTGTCTAATTCATGGCGAACTGAACTTTGACTCCAATCCCATTCTTTGCTTTTGTCTACAAGAACATCTCTACTGATCACTAGTTTATCTTCAATTGGTGAATACAACTTGTATGCACCAGTCGAATGATAATTTATGAGCACCATGACTTCACTTTGATCATCCAACTTCTTTCTCAATTGTTCAGGTACATGCCTGAAACACATTGATCCAAAATTTCTAAGATGACTTACATTTGGCTTCGACCCTGTTCAAGCCTCATGTGGTGTCTTTTCGACCATCTTCTTCGTTGGACATCTATTTAGAATGTATAATGTTGTCGAAGCTGCTTCAGCCCAAAATCTCTTAGGTATATTCTTAGATTTCAACATACATCTCGTCATGATCAGTACACTTCTATTCTTTCTCTCAGCTATACCATTATGTTGAGGCGTATAGCGTGCAATAACCTCATGCTCTATACCTTCCTCATTGCAAAATCTAGCAAATTCAGCAAAAGTATATTCACCACCACCATCAGTTCTTAACTTCTTCAATTTGCAGCCACTTTGTTTCTCAGCATGCAACTTGAACTTATTGAACTGTGTGAATACCTCACTCTTCCTCTCAATAAGGCAAATCCATATATGTCTGGTGAATTCATTAATGAAAGTAAGGAAATACCTGTTACCTCCATTAGACTTTACTTCAAAGGGTCCACACACATCTGAATGAACCAGCTTCGGTTTTTGCCTTGATCTTATAGGCAAATCACGTTTGAACACCTTCCTTGCCTGTTTGGCTTTGCAGCATTCCTCACATATCTGTTTTGGTTCCTTCACATATGGAAACTCTGACACCATTCTTTTCTGATTGAGCATACATAAACTCTTGAAGTTTAGATGTCCATATCTGTGATGCCATAGCCAGTTCTTGTCTTCTTTTGTAGTTGAAGCAAGACATTTGTGATCTGATGTGTTGAGTTTAACCCTGAACGTTTTGTTCTCCGCCAATGGTGCTTTCATTATTAGCCTCCCATCATCCCTATATACCTTCATCTGATTATTCTCCAACTTCATATTGAAGCCTTTTGCAAGTAATTGACCTACACTTATCAAGTTACTTATCATTCAAGGTACATATAAAACTTCAGTGATAGTAGCCTTTCGACCATCCTTTCTAATAATTGAAATATCTCCTTTATCACCTGACTTGATATGCCTGCCATCTACAAACTTTATCAGCTTTTCGACTTATTCATCTAACTTGGTAAACCAGTTTTTATTGTCAGTCATGTGGTTGCTACATCCTGAATCCAGATACCACATGTTATTTTTCTCGGTATTCGACTGAGTGTTTACCAACAACAACACATCATCAGAGTCACTACTTCCAGCTCGTGCATATTGAGCTTCATCACTATCTTTCGACTTCGCAACTTTCTTTCTTCCATAGTCTCTAGCATAGTGGCCAAAACCTTGACAATTGTAACATTGCATATATTTCGTGTCAACTTTCTTCCCAGAATACTTGTTGCCCACACCTTTCGAATCAATATTCTTGCTTGACTTCTCATCACCAACAAGATTCTTTCGCTGCTTCGACTTCTCTTTTCCAGCCTTCTTGCTGAATCTTGATTACAATGCTTGTTCAATTGTCTTCTCTCTTTCTGAGTTTCTCTGTTGCAGTCTTATTTCGTGAGTCTCCAATGAAGCTTGAAGTTCTTCCAACTTAATCTCAGATAGATTCTTGGCCTCTTCAATTGTTACAACAAAGTAATCAAGGTCTACAATTAAAGATCTCAATATCTTTTCTATCTTCTGCAGATCCGTTAGCGCTTCACCACACGCCTTCATCTGGTTTAGCGCTACAACTCTTGAAAAATATGCAGAAATAGATTCACCCTCTTTCATCTGAAGCATCTCATACCGCTCCCTCAAAGTCTGCAACTTCACATTCTTTAGTTTCTCATCTCCACCATACAAGGATTTCAGCTTCTCCCAAGCTCCTTTTGTTGTTTCTTCTTCAATTATCTTCTCAAATACATCACAATCCACACACTGGTGAATCAAGAACAACGCCTTGTCATCTTTCTTCCTCTGATCTTTGTGCGCAGCTTTCTGGGCTTTCGTAGCATCTTCATCGAGTTGTGATATTCCATCATTCAAGATTTCTACAACATCTTGAAATCTGAAAATAACCTTCATTTGTGCCACCCATCGTTGACAGTTTTCACCTTTGAAAACCGGTAGATTCGCTAGAAACTGTGTTGATGTTGTTGATTCGTTTGTCATTAGATTCCCTCTGAATCGCAAACAAGCTCTTGATATCAATTTATTGGAACAAAGGATTCAAAAAAGATGATATTGTGAAAACAACAACAAGAAGAAGAGGAAGAAGAGAGAGAGAGAGAGAGAGAGAGAGAGAGAGAGAGAGAGAGAGAGAGAGAGAGAGAGAGAGAGAGAGAGAGAGAGAGAGAGAGAGAGAGAGAGAGAGAATTGATGAGTTAGTTATGCGTAACTAACTATCTAAACTGAATTGTATTATTGTTTCTTACTATTACAAACACAATGACCCATTATATAGACAAAATAACTCATACTCAAATACATGCTAAAAATCTCAAATAACTACATAACAAGAATTAACCAACTAACAAGTACAAACATCACAATATAAAATAGGGAAAACCTCACTCAATTAGAGGACATGTTATTCAATACCTAAATTATATCCCCTCTTTTTCTCTTTCATTTCCTATTTTCCTTCTATAAATTGAGGATAATGAATAACAGATTTTTCTGGCTTTGAGCTAATTCGAAATCAGTCCTAAATTAAGTAAACTTTAATGAAATATTGTTTCCCTTATTCAGAATGACCTCATATATTTAACAATTTAGAATGAAAGAATTAAAAGCACTTTTGTAATTAAAAAAAAAAAAACCTTTGTAGGTCTCCGATGGATAAATTAGACCATCTTTATTGACATCAAAGAAAGCAGCATGTTTCTGAAGAACATTTTCATTAACTGAATTCTGTTTCTGATCCTCAACACCACCAACAAATCCTTCATGTAAATTGAAATTTAAAAAACATCAATCTACGAAATAGAATTAACAAAGCAAAACACAATTAAAAAGAAGACAAATTTCGTAACATAATACCTTCCTCTAATTGCTTGCTATCTGATGAAGAAGATGCTGTATTGATGTATAGAATGCTTAAGCAAAAAAGGAGTTTTAGAAGAAACTTCATTTTGGTAAGTGTTGTTTTGGTTTAATGAGTTTGTGTTTATGTATATAAAGGTGAAAGAAAACATAGCGTATAGGATGTGGTATCGTTGTTTTTATAATTCATCTTATCTATCTGTTTTGGAACTCTTAATTATAACTAATATTAATAATAGATAATTTTGTTATTTTTGTTATACGATTCAATTGTTTTGTTTTTTTGCTGAAAACAACAATAAACCTTCAACATGGGAGTTTTTGATCTGTTTTTGAGACAGTGTTCTTGTTATTATTTTAAGGGAATATTTTATTTTGTTGATTGAGGTTGATCTAGTCTGTTTATCCTTTTCTAGTGTGGTAATGTTCTTAGTGTATTTTTATTGTTTTTTAATTTATTTATTGTTTTGATATACTAAATAATTTTATTTTGTTTGAGAATAATTTGGTCATAAATAATACAGACCCAAATTATTTGATATTCTATATACTGCAAGATAGAGTATTTGTTTAGGTGACACCTTTCATACCTAAAACTCTAGCAACATTCAATTATTTAAAACAACTTTTTTTTTACAAACAATTATTTTTAAATATTAAAATTTTGGATTATCTTCATCTCATGGATGTAGGCCATGTTAGTATATTTCTTATATATGAAAAATGAGTGATCACACTTTGAGAAAAACAAATAGATGAAACATAGTCAGTGAGCTGTTGTACTAAACTTTAGGAGCTTGTTTGATATCATATATTAATTTATGCAGACGAGACACATATGATTAGGATTTTATGAATTCTTAAAGCTTAATGGTTGACATATTTAGACAATTTCTTTGAGCCTTCATGTAGTAAAGCATTCTCGATATAAATTTGTTAAGACTTAGAGAGATCAATATTAAGAAGTGTGTGAATAGTAGTCACCTTGACAACTAGTCTAAAGGTTTCTCCACAATCAATGTTGACATGCACCATCACTTACAAATTGGGCTTTACGCCTCTCAAAAAAATTGTTAAAATTTTATTTATTTCTAAAAATTCACATCAACCGAATAACATTAACACCAGGTGGTTGTGACACTAAATCCCACGTCTTATTTTTAATTAGAGTATTATATTCATCATCCATGCCCATTTTCCAATTCAAGTCTGAATGCAGGCACGAGGTTTCTAGGTATATGGGATTTAGGAACATGGGTGTGTAGGCTATAATATTTTTGATTGGGTTTAAAAATGCCAAGTTGACTCCTAATAATTGATTTTGTGTCTGATGGTAAAGAGGGTTGGAAATGGGAGGAAGATATTATTGGTTGGTTTCTTGAGAGTGTGATGGTGTATTGGCCGATAGTATGGCGTCTAAGGTTGAGTTGGTCGACGATGTAGGAGAAGTTTAGATGGATGGTTGAGGGATGTGTGTAACACCTCATTTCTACCTGGCGGATAATAATAAAATCAGAGTTCAACATAAATAAGATGCTACGTTTACAACTTAAAATCAAACTTCATTTAATCGCATATAAAACAGATACATAACACTTAATTCGGATGAACCGATAACAACCTGATTTATTCTTTAAAATCAAACAACTTTTTATTGATAAGAAGCAGAATCTACATACTCAACTTCAATTCACTTAACATATTTTATTCAACTAAAACAACTTCAAGAAAATAATTATTTCACGTAACCAACTTAAAATTTAGCAACTGAAATAAGCATCAACAACTAAACACCAAGCGTTCATCCTCCTGAATGCTACGTATCAGAGCGACGACACCGACTCGAACTAACGAGGTAACAACTATCCTTCTTGATTACCTGCACGTTACCAACAAAGGATAACATTCAAACAGAATGGGTGAGATATCGAACAATATAATAAGTCGTATGATAAATAATATATTAAATCAAATCATACAAAATCACTACTTCACAACTTACAAACAACTTTAATCACAACAGAACATCAACACGACATAACTACTAAATTCACAGCTTTTAGATAATACTTGCCACAACAAGTCAACAACATAAAGCAACAACAAATCTATCTTCACCACAACTCAAGATGCAACATCAAATTCGACTCAATTACAATGCACATGCATGTGGTACCATTGAGATAGAACTCCCAACTTAAAAATGGAGCAAAACACTCATCTTAAAAATGGAGCAGAACTCTCATCTTAAATACGGAGCAGAACTCTCATCTTAAAAATTTGAGGCATCAACAAGGCATAAGACTTCTTCTTAGTTTGCCAATCCAGGCCATCAGAGTATACAAATGTATGTGACTCAATGAATGCATTATCATATACTCACAACAATCATCATCCATCGCAAGGCATAAGTCCACATCACCATTATTACCAGTAAATAGAGGTAATTTATCATCATCTAAAATTCTCTGCAACTTCACATTATCAACAAGAATTCACAGAGACAATCACAACAACACAACATCTCAACATTAGCCATAGGCCTACAACTTTACATTGTCAATAAATAGAGGCAACATAACAACAACAACAAATATTAACAACAACATAACCACAACTATTCAACTTTGGCAACAAGCCTACAACTTGATTTTTGCCAATAGTTAGAGGCAATGCAACAAAATTCACCACCTGCAACTTCATAATTAACCATAACAATTGTTCCGTATAATTATTCGGACTAATCGACCAAATCTTACAAATTAATTACCGGCTAATCGTCCCATTATTTTCTACTCTGTAATAATGTACTTATTGGCTCTCTGTTAATTGGCTACTACACTGCTACCAAATATGTGTACATCAGTTACTATTGATTTTTCCACCAACATTACTAATCCTGTTATTTGAGTGAAATTTGTTATTTACTACTACGAAATATTTCTACTATATGTAATATTACTTCTCTACTAATTTAGTAAATCTATTGTTCTTATTACTACTAAATTTCTACATTGTTAACATCTAACAATCACTAAGTGTCTCTGCAATTAAAATCATCACTGCTATTTTAATTTCTAAGACTACTACTAATATAACTCTGCTAATTATTAACTATGCTATTTTCATTACTATTCTGCTAAATATATTGGACTGATACTCTGACTACATACTAAATCTTAATCTAATAATTACCTCCACTAGATACCAAAAACTCTGCTACTTAATTTAGTTCTAAGTGCCACTATGCTTTAGTACGCATGAGCCACATAACAAGAACAAGTTAAGGCTTCATGTAGCAACAAACAAAACAAAAAGACAAGGAAAATGGAGTGTGCCCCTCGGCACAACTCCCTCCCATATGCACATAGTACCGACCATAACACCTTTCTCCACAACCATGTCGTTTGGCATGTATCCTGGGCCCTTTGGCACCCACCATCCTTAAGAGTGCCACTCGGCACACACATCAGTTTTGTGTCGTCCGGCACATCCTTAGTTTCGTTTGTTTTCTTCCTAATTTCCTCTGTCTGCTACGAAACAAATACGGTATCAAATTCAACAATACAACACAATATCACAATAACATAAAAATTATACCCAATCAACATAGAATAATTTTCCACAACCAATTCGTTGATAGCAACCACATCTCAGTATCAATTACAACAATTAAACACAAACAGAGGCAATTTTACAAACTCAATCCCACATAAAATCTGTCATACAACCCATTAGATAGTCAGAACCCCGCTCTTACCTTGGATTGAAGATCGCTCTATTCTACCGGTTAAAGTCTCTCGCCGTAGCTTCCAACCTTTGACTCTTCTATGTAACTTTGCAGCTTCTCACATTCCCATAAAATTCTCTAAGACTTGTTCAATTAATCTAATTCTTCTTATAATTAACTTAACCTTATAATTATTAATATTCTTATTGGGCCTAACTTTCACACCCCACCTATTACTCCATACAACCAAATAATGAGCTCAACTAATAAATCTTATATTATTCTAATATCTATATTAATATTATTGCTAATATTAATCAACCAATTAATTAAATATCAATCAAATAACAATTTAGCAACTTAAATCAACATTTCTCGATATTATGCAACTTCAACAATTTCAACAACATTTTCAAACATTAATTTGTAATTAATTTAATTAAATAATTAATTAAATTAACGGGCGTTACAACTCTCCCCCACTTAGAATATTTTCGTCCTCGAAAATCCACTCGATACTACCACTCTTAGTACGAGTTTCGCATCCAACTTGTTGATTTCCAAGTCGCGTTTGGCAACACTTCGACCACTACCTTCCCGATAACTCAATAACTCAACACGATTCAAATCGATTACACACATGCCAATCATTCAACACTTCGTGACACAGTCGTTACTAGCATCTCAACTACTCCATCATAATCTGACACATCAACATTTAAAGTAGAAACAAATATAACACACTTATACTTGAATATACATCATCACAATATCATCTTAACACCCTTTTCAACACCAAAACACATACAAAATTTCATTCCCGTATATCAATTATCAACAAAATATCAACAACTCTACTCATATTGTCATATCACTCTTATAGTGACATCAAAACAACCAACATAATCAACTTTGTCACGTTATGGAGTATCATTCCTTACTTACGGAAATGAATAATAACATCTCAATAGCGATAACAAAATCATTGCAACACCAACTTAATTGTATAACTCAACAATTATACACACAACTCACCATCAACCAGCAACCACATTAATATCCTTATAAAATACGCAAATATTTACTAGCAAACATAGTGCCCTGGCATAACATCTTTATATCAACAATCCCATAAATCAAGCATGTAGATTAAGACACACCATTCCCATAGGCTTCTTATGTTTTAATCCTTTAATTCTAACGAGTCGTACACGCATAGCAACTGCGCCACATCATGCTTCAGCTGCGCAACTCTGATAATCCACCTTAAGTCATTGTCCTCGTTAAAATAAAAGGAATGCTGGGAAAATAAGAAGAGTCAAACACTCAGATTAAGAACTTATTGGAAGCCTTGTTCA